TCCCACAAAGAAAAAGGAAAACAGAGAAACAGTTTTTTTCTTTATTGCTCTGTTTTTTTTATCACTCGGTGAAATGGTGGGGGGGGGGAAATGAAAGAATAGATGGAGGGGGAGGTGGGACCCAGGGAAGATGACGGTGGTGGCGGTGTTGATCTGTCTGCCTGCCGGCCGCCGTGCTCCGCCGGCGGTGAGCGGCGGGGGTGATCTAGCTGGCTTCCAATTTGTTGCGATCTTAGTAATAAAACAGAGAGTGTTCGATTCTGGTTTGGACTTTTTGGTCTTGATTTCGATTGATGGCTACGGCTGCCAACTAGGGATTCGCTTTTCAGAGAGGGAAAGGAAACCGCGTATGAAGAGAGAGCGAGAGAGAGAGAGAGAGAGAGAGAGAGAGACAGTAGGACGATGATGATCTAAAGGATGCCGCGTTGGCAAGAGATCCTAGTTCTGTGGTCGGATCGGATGTCTTTAGAGAAAACGAGTTGCTGTGAGTGATCTCTTGCTTTCGTCTCTGTTCTGTTTCACTTTCAGCCCACGAGGGGATTTATCGCACTCACTCGCTCTATAGATTTGTGGTAACTGGTAAGCAATCTATAGATTTTTATTTAGTAGATAAGTAAGTAGAATTCGGTTGTAAAGCGATGAAATATTTTGGTGATTTATTGATTGGATTTTCGTTTATGTTTTTTTTTTTTTTTTTTATACCCAGGAACCTCAGCCCCACGTGCCACTTTGTGACAGCGGGTCCTACTAAACCTGGGGGCCACCTGCATTTAATTTGACGCCAACGGGGCTTCGCCCCCAGCAGCCTTGTACCTCCGGGAACACCAACGGGCCTCGCTTGGATTCGAACCTGGGATCTGCAACTCCCAAGCCTTCACTGTTGCGGCAGCTTTACCGTTAGGCTATCTTACCTTTGATGATTTTCGTTTATGTTTAGTCAAGTTGAATTGGTTTGAGTAATAATCGCAGACCGCCATAGGTATTATAATTTGTTTTTGAAAAGTAGTATGTGCCTGAGTTTTATTTTCTACTTGAAGAGAGATATAAAATATGGATAAAACATAATAAGAAAGTAATAAAATACCTCCCAAATGTAATTTTCTTGTCATTCTGGTAAAATAATAAATGAGATTTAAGAAATCTCGTATATGGATAGTATAAAATAAAAACTCATTACGACAAACAAAAATAAATATCAAGTCAGTCGGAGCAAAATCTAGAACAAATAGATAGGTGATGACCGACAAATCTAAGCGAGAGGGTGTCTGGACTTGCACATCATCACTCTTATTGGTCTTGAAATTTCGTGATATTTGATTGTTCCCTCTTTCAGATGGACTATCTCGCTCATATAAGTCCAATTTCGATAACTTCTAATAACCTTTGCAAGACAATTTGGTGCAAAGTGGATTTTATCTTGAGATTGAGTGAAGATCAAACGAATCAATCATTTAACAAATGTAAATGTTGTTAGGTTAAGTGGTGGTTGCTTTCACATAACTATACACTTAGCATTAGGTTAGGTGTTGGAAATAAATAATAGACAAGAGCTTACTTCTACTTAACTTGCTGTCTTTTATCGGCCCATATAAGGTATTATTAATATACCTAATCTCTTGTTGATTGCATGATTACCAGAAAATATTAATAATCAATTGGATTATAAAATTATATACTAATAATTAATTAGATGCTAAAAAACTAGCTAACTTGGCATTGTCCCGTGAACCCTAAACCCAAATAAAGAATAAGAAAACCCCATCATGTGACCTCATAACATAACACATGAATACAAGGTATGATGAAAAGCCTAACAATAATATCACTTACCAATGCAAAGAACATGAATCTAACTTGATGAAATAAATAAATAAAAAGAAATTAGTTGAATGAATTTGGTGAAATTGGAGTGATGGATTGTACCATAATTGATCATGATGAATTGTGCACAATTTATTGCTTGGCTCGGATTTTCCAAGGTTCTTTACTATCAATAAATCGGAGTTGGTAGGAAAAAAATAAAAAAATGGAGTTTAATGCTATATAGTCACCCTACACACACTATCAAATTAAAAGCCAAGTCATTAGCTTGAAACTTGCACGAATTCGTCATACTATGTATCTAATTAAATTGTGAATATTGAGACTTCATTAGGATTCTGACTTAGACATAAGCCCAATCAGTCAAAAACCTTTGGTCTAATGTCTAATATTGCCCGATAACATGTGTGATTCTCGAATCGAATAACATTATACTCAATAAGTTTTCATAATCATTACTCTAGACTGCCATTTACTTCATCAAAACCTCTATTATCCTTAATTTTTTGAAGTCGCTCACATTCAAGATCAATATATTAATATAACCCACATCCCAATTTTGGCAAATCCTCCTAACAAACCAACTAAATCATAATTTAAAATGAACTAAATTCCACCCTCCATACTCATATCATATGTTCATTGAACACATTTAAATAGTTCATTTCCTATATCTCAATATTCTTAAACAAAGATTTTGTTGTGCAAATGACATGTTTTACATCATTTGGAGATTCATAGATGTTAGGCAAAGATTCATTGGTTGGGTGTCCATGAACCTTTGCTTGTTTATTAATGGATGCTCAAAACTTGAGTTTAGCACCGACCTCATGATTGCAAACCCAACACGTGGCAATGACCCATTAGGTTATTTTGATCATACTCACTTTTAAGCAAAATCCTACTTTTAGTGATATTTTTCACAAGATTCATGCAAGTTCATCATCTTTTCCACCCAACAAATGTTTAACAAACAAAAGAAGTGGTCAAATGTATATGAATTAGTTAAATTCGACACAATTCAAAGCCTATCAATATAATATTGCTCTATGCAAATTAAAAGTTCGTTGAACATGAAGACGAGCAGTCATTCACAATCTTCTTTGTTGTTTTTCCTGCTTCACTTTCACTCATGATTGCAAAAGTTGCCAAACCAAAAACATGGTTGTCAAACGTTATTTGCTAACAACAATAACAACAACTAGCTAAATGATAACCTGTTGGACGACGAGTGGCGAGAGTAGCAGCAACACATCCCAAATTGCAAAATTTAAGGTTGTTGTTGCTACGAGTACCAACGGTACTGCCAGTACTTATTATAAAAGGGTCTGAGAAAACAATTACTGGCACATCTAAATGTGCAAGCAATATCGAAAATGCAAGTCCTCATGCATCTCACAAAGCATTGTTGATAGCTTGCATTTGATGGTTGCACCATTGTTCCCATCGTCAACATTGTCACTAAGAACATAGGATTGTAGCCAATTGCCACTCTTCTACTCTCCATCTTATGCACTTATTCTCCTCTTTGTTTTTTCGTTGATGAATGTTGTTATTGTAAAGTTTGTTGGTGTTTATTTTTTGCAATGAGATGAGAGAGTTTATATACCCACTTGTAAATTGTCGTATTTGGAATGTGGATTTAATTGATCACATAATTTGTGGAAATTAAAGACGAAAGAGGATCTACAAAAATAGGAAAGAAGATTAATGTTTTATCATATGATGACAATTAAAGTTGTTCCTTATCTGAATATTTTGTAATAAGCATACCAATTTAGGATCTCTTAAGATTTTTCCATTTTCATATAACTACAAGAGCTTATTGTTTGAGATCTTGAAATATTTTATATTGTTGATGGTAGCACTTCAAATTTCACTCGGTTGGTTTTGTCTCTTCTTAAATAATAGGCTATTTGCTACACATCATTTCAAGATTTTGGCTTTTAATTCACCGATCTAGTTGTGATAGCGTTAAATGTATTGTACACGTACATATAAAGTTTGAGATTTGTACTAGCCAGTTGACCTGTCATTTGGGTGCAAGATATCACTTGGGGCTTGGATGCCATATTAATGTTCTTTATAAGAACGATGATTGTTGGCCTAAAGACTTCTATCCTAAATGCTTGTAGTCCATCAACATAATTACACTCCAAATTTGATAACGCTTTCACGTGTTATTCGAAACGCTGGAACTCTCACTAATAATTTATAAACAAAAACTTCATCAACTAAGATATCACAAAATTACAGAAAAGAGAGCTAAAATTAAACAAATTACACAAAGTCTTCCACCCTTTTATTGCTACCTATAGGCTATAGCTACTACATAAAACAATTTCAAGATGCATTCTATGTCTAGTAGTAATTGCTCAATGCACAACTAAATGTTCTTGGAGCAGGTAGATGAGCAACCATTCACCATTCTCTCTGCTACTTCCTCTGCTTCACCTTCACTCATAACCGCCAGAGCTGCCAAACCAAATCACAACAACTTGATGAATTCAATGCATTACATTATCAAAAGATCCCAATGACGAACTTCGTCGAAACAACGGAATCTACGATTACCTGACGGATTTCGAGCAGTGAGAGTAGTAGCAAGGCATCCCAAATTACAGAACTTGACGTTGTTATTGTTGTTCTTCTTGTCGGTATGGATTGGATCTGTGATGAGACAGTTACTACCGCACCTGAACATGCACGCAACATCCCAAATACATGTCCTGAGGCACCTCACGAAACATTGTTGGTAGCTTGCAGTTGATGGCTCGACCATCATTCCCATCACCAACATCATCCCCAGAAAAATGGACTTGTAACCAATTGTCACTCTCCCACTCTCCATTCTTCTTTCTCTCTTTCACTATCTCTCTCTTGGGCTAAATGTTGTTGCTGTAAACTTTGCTAGGTGTTTGTACTTTGCAATGTAAAGTGAGGTTTATATACCCACTTGCAAATTATGGCATTTAGAATGACAATTAAAGTGAGAGATTTCTTCCCGTAATTGTATGCCAATACTTGAATTTTGGACTTATGAAGTAGTTTGAATGTTGATTCAATATAGGATCAAGTTCTCCGCGTCAATGTTAAAGCTGGAATTATTATTTTGGATCTCGGGAATATTTCATAGCAAGACAATTAATATTTCATAGCAAGACGTTTCAATCATTGGAGGCACTAATACCATGAGAATGCTATCAACAATTCGAATTATAAGAAGAGGCGCATAACGATGGATCATGTACCAGTCGCATACGACTTCAATCAGTAGCTGTATTGATTCATACAACATGATAACTTAATATGCTGCAATCTAGAGGTTTGAAGATATCAGTTTTTTCAGAAAATAGTTAAATACAAAGCATCTCCAACTCTCATACAGTTTCAAGCTTTTCCTCCCAAGAATTCAGGCAGTCTTCATTTTGCAGAGTAAAATATCAGCCTGCTCCTTCAATAAGCTTTGCAGGTGGAAGAAAGAAGCCCGGGGAACTAATTCGACTTGAATGCAGCTCAACTTGCCATGTAAAGATCCTTCCTTTTCGACGGAAACTAGCAGAGGTAGCTTTCTGGTATAGATGGCATCAGGAAAAGGTTGCTTCTTTGCCCCGAATTTTGTCTTTCAGGTCTTCCATACACGGATTGTGCCGTCCACAGATGCAGTCACCATGCAACTATCCTTTGGATGGTAACTCACACTCGTTACCTGCTCCATGCAAAAAGAACCAACCATTGAGAAATGCAAAACACTCTAGGATCATAGTCGGGATTTGCACGCAGGGGGGTGACAAAATTCGGTCTGCGCTAGACCAATTGATAGACTACCATGATCATGAAAATGGAGAAAAGGAAATAGCAATGGCCATAACATAGCATCTCATAATTAGGGCTAACATCTCATATATGATATTCAAAGTAAAGCCAGCAACACCCTCCAGTACTCAAAATTGGAGATAAGGTGAAAATTTTGCAGCTTTTTCAACTATTCAAGGTCGGTTTCTTGAAATATCAGTACGAGTGAAGTCAAACAGAATCAAGCAGAATAATTACCACTGAAGCATGTGCTCTGAACCTTGAAACAACACTTGCATCGACAAGATCCCAGAAGTAAACATACCCATCCTCCGATCCACCAGTTACATGGGCATCCGTATTTGTAAGGCAGCAGTCCATCTTGAAAGACTTCACTCAAAAGGACAGAGACAGATCAGTAGAAATTCCCAAAAGTTCAAGTAACAAAGAGCTGAAGTTTAACTTAACAAACTTACTCTACAAGTATGCCCTTTATATTCTTGCAAGAGCTCGCCCGTCGTTCTAAAACAACAAAACCAAAGCATAAGAACCAGAAACAGATCAATGTGAACCACCCAATATGCACTTTTGGTAACATCTTTACCTGTCCAAAAGGCGCAAGGTAGAATCCAAGCAACTAGCTAAGATGCAGTTACCATCATTCGACAAAGATATACAGTTAACAGGTTGCCCCAAATTGTCCGAAATTTCTCTACATAACAAAAGAAACCGAATTTGGCATCAAAACATTTCGTAAGATCGAACAAAAGAAACCAAACTTCAAAACCATAACTTTCGAGCAATGGAAAATGCAGGTCTTTTTACACTGCTCTCAGCGTCACTCACCTCCCAACTCGAATGTCGAACGTTCTAACCGTGCCATCAACACTCCCAGCAATGATCTCGGTTTTCGTCAAGCAAACAGACATCACACTATCGGAAAACGTATCAATGATCTGCCAAACGAGCCACAGAATCAATATTTGCACATAAACAAGGCCAGGAGAAAGAAAAAAAAAAACTTGAAGATGGAGGAACCTGAAAATACACCTGAATAGGTTCAGTACTATGAGACCGGCAATCCCAACTGCGCAAGGATTGATCATATCCAGCTGATACCGCCACAGATGCATACTCATTGAACTTCACAGCATTCACCTAATCGCCCAAAACCCTAAATTTTGTAACTAAATTCTTCATCCAAACCAAACTGCAACTCCACTCCAATTGATAGAATGCTCAAAAGTTGAAAAGCATTATTACCTCACTCTCATGTCCCCGGAACTTTCTGATCACTCTGCCGGTGGACACATCCCAATAGAACACCTGCCGATCGCCGCCGCACGAGACCAGCTTCGAATTATCCCTGCCCACCCAAAACGCTTCAGCAAGATAAGGAACAAACCAAATTGGGAAGGCAAAAAAAAGGAGAGAAACAAGCGAGGGAGAAATCGTACGGCGTGACGTGGACATCGCGGACTTCCCGGCCGTGCGATTTGTAGGTCTTGATGTGGATGCCACGGTGGGGATTCCAGAGGCGAATCGTTCGATCCTTGCCACAGCTCAGGCAATAGTTGCCGTCGGCGTTGAACCTCGCCGCTAGCACGGCGCCCTCGTGGCCTTTCAGCACGTTCGCTTCCTTCGTCGGAAGATCGGAGGCGCTCATCGTCTTCCGATTACTTTCTCCTTTCCCTTCGTCGTTTCTTATTTCTTCTTGTTCGCTGCCTTACAATCGCCGGCGGTTGGCAGTCTCAGGCGGGAAAAGCTCGTAGCTTTGTTGGGTGGGCTTTGGGCTTTTTCTTTCCGGCCCACTCAAATTTTGTCGGGCTTGAAATTTATATTGGCCCATTTGTTGCTAATGGTTGGCTTGGTGCATTCATGTGCTAATGATAAACCATACAAACATGTGGTGTGGTGGTTGATCTCGTTTCGTCGTTTAATCGTTAATATCGTTACTTACAAAATATGATTTTATGTTAGACAAACTATTCATTTACAAAAAAAAAAATATTATTATTTATTCTCCATTCATATTTCATCACGAACTCGGACCAAATATCCCACTTTAAACAACTGGAATACGACTACTAACCGGCGCCGGTGCCGGAGCATAACGGCCACCGTCAGCAAGAGCCGCGTCGCAGTACCCTCTCAGCAAGTGGGCTTGCTGGGCCGTGAAGCCCACAGAGTCAAGCATCGCGGGCCAGCAGCTGTGAGTGATTGTGGACACGGCCCGGCAACACCCGTCGCTAATGATGTCCACCCGGCCGTCGCTAAAGAAGTACTGGAACAGCTCGCCGGAGCAGGACTTGATCTCCACAAGCGCTCCCCAGCAATCCGCCAGCCCCGCTGCCTTCTCTTCCAGCCGCCGCCCTTCCGCCGTCGCCGCTGCGAACGCCAGCATTCCCAGCAGAAACAATCCAGTGGCTCTGAGGTTAAAAGCCATTTCTTTTGGCAAATGCATGATGGCTTGTGAGATTTGGAACGGCTGGTTATATATGGTTGCGAGATTCGTCGCTCAATGGGTGGGAGTACTCCAAGAGCCTCTTTGAGGGAGGATAATGGAGCGATTAATGTTTCACTTCTTAATTAAGGTTAACTGATGTGATCAGCCATGGCCATTCCAAAAGGTTTTTAATAATGAAACCAACTCTAAGGAGATATCCTTTTTTGACATGAACCGGATATAGTTCAAGCTTCTTCCATAAAACTTCCATAGTCAAATATGAACCCAAATATCCAACACATTCAAAGCACAATAACAAGCTAAAAGGAAAAGCCTTATTAGTTTAAAGAGAGTTGGCTAGCTTGACCACCAAAAGGGTTCATACGATGACCGTTTCATCATAACTTTTGAACGACGATTGAGTTATTTCGATAAAGAGTTGGCGACGTCGATCACAAACCGGTATCTGACATCCGACTTAGCAAGCCTTGCCATGGCGATGTTGACTTGATTCATGGGGACCACCTCGACATCCGCAGTGATGTTGTGCTTGGCACAGAAGTCGAGCATCTCCTGCGTCTCCTTCATCCCTCCTATGTCGCTCCCTCCCACCAGCTTTCGACCTATGTAGAGTTGTAGACCATTGATGTGATATAATTAACAACATCATAATCACGACTTCTAAATTTGTACACGCTATCAGGACCTTTTTATTTCAAAGTGACACGATTGTTAATATGCGTTTTGAAGCCTACCTAGAACTAGAGGGGCTATGGGGAGCTCGAGGGGCTTGTCAGGCAGACCTAGAGTGATCAGCTTCCCATTAGTCTTCAAAAGAGCCAAGAGTGGTGTCAGCGCATGAACAGCTGAGACTGTATCAATTATGTAATCCATGCTGCCCACAGCAGCCTGCGAAAAGAAACAACGCAACAACTTTCATATAAGCAAAAACCTTATCCACTCAGAATTAGCTTGGAGTAATCCAAAACACCTTACGAATCGGTTGAAAGTACAAATTCCTCGAATACATGCCTTCTCATAATACATTATTCGCAAAAAGTAGCTTTTTCGAAACTGACATCCCAAACAACCGTATGAATGAAGTAATTTGGCTCAATTGTTTCCAAATCAAGCAACTATCGTGGAGCAGCACAAAATGCATCATTTCATAAGTCCAACGTCCAAACCAATGTTTCCCACATACCTTGATTTGGAGAGGATCACTACTGACCACAAACCCGTCAGCACCCAACCTCCCAACAGCCTCACCCTCCTTCCCCGGCGAGTGGCTAATCACAGTAACCTTCAACCCAAATGCTTTCCCAATCTTCACAGCGACATGGCCCAGCCCACCAAGCCCAACAATTCCCAGGTGCTTCCCTGCAGACCCGTCCGCCATTCCATAGTACTTCATCGGACTATACACTGTCACTCCGGCACAGAGCAAGGGAGCGCCAGCATCGAACGGCATGGAGTCAGGAAACCGGACAACAAAATGCTGGTCGACGACGATGACGTCGGAGTATCCGCCGTAAGTTGGAGTTCCGTCACGGTCGATGGAGCCGTAGGTGAATGTCATTTTTGGGCAGTAGTTCTCCAGTTGCTGGTTGCAGTAGTCACATGACCTGCACGATCCCACCATCACTCCGACACCTACTCGGTCGCCCTCTTTGAATTTCGAAACGTTCGTGCCGGATTTCGTCACAATCCCGACGATCTCGTGCCTGCAATGTGTAAGAAAGTGGTTAACATCTATATATAAACCTCTAATTTATTCCAACAACTCGAATTATCGACGCTCACACAGTGACAGAGTACAGATTACGACAAGCTATAAGACTAGGGGTACAAAATTACAAATTAGAGATTATAGATTTTACCCTGGAACTATGGGGTAACGAGCAATTCCCCATTCGTTCTTGATGGAGTGCAAGTCAGAGTGGCAGATCCCACAGAAATGGATCTTTATGGTCACATCTTCATCTCCATTTTCCCTGTGCCAAAGATACAAACCAACAGAGAAGGATTTATACCACGATGAAACAAACACCCAAGAAGAATCCATTAACAAGAATCCATTTTCAACCATGCAGTCGCAACAAATTAAGAAGTACCCATCAAGAAAAGACTCGTTCTTTTGATACCCAGAAGAGGATCAAGAAATTCAGATCCTTGTTTAACATCTCCCCGTTTGTACCGCTTTAACCAGTTCCTAAAGAAATGCATGCATAGATATTTGCCTAATGAGACCTGCGGGAGAAATTGAAGGGAGAGAGGACGCCGGAGGGGTCTCTGGCGGCCCAGCCAAATGCCCTCTGTGGGTGCTCTGTTTCCGGCGACTTGGCCATTGCTGCAGGGGAGCGCCTTGTTTTCTTTCTTTTTCCTCCCTCGGGATATCCGAAATTGAGAGAGAGAGAGAGAGAGTCGATTTCTTATTATTTCCTCTCCTTCTCCTTCGTATGTGATTAAATAGATGACAGGAAACGGTAGAGAGTGGCGGAGTGGCGAGGATGCAGAGTGTCACTGTGTCAGAAACAGAGCCAGCTCAAGTGAAACGTCTTTCTTGCTTTCTGTTTCTCTCTTTTGGCAGCTTACTTATTTTTCAAAGTAGTGTACAGAGGCGGAGAAGCGTTACCTCGTTGTGCGGGCGTCTCGGACTTCCCGGCCGTTGGATTTTGCAGGGTCTTGAAATATTTTCGTCGGAAGATCGGAGGCGCTCAATATTTCCCCCCTTTTCCTCCTCCTTTTCTTCTTCTCTGATTTCTAATCGCCGGCGACTGGCGTCTCGGGCGGGAAAAACTTGGCGCTTTTTTTCTGCGCGCTGTCCGGTGAGTATTGGGCTTTTGGCTATGTCTCTCGCGGGCTTGAAATTTATATTGAGCCCATTTTTATTCTAGTTCATATGCTTGGTGTATTCATCTTCAAATAATTTTGAAGGTTCTTACCAAAACAAATTTTTTTTTTGAAGGCCATAGATGCCACCATTTAATTTCCTAGGTCATTGCAGAAAGTAGTAAAGTAGTGGACAAATCATTTTATTGGGTGGAAGGGATTGCGTCGAGGCGTGGTCGTAGGGTGAAAATCAGCCTTGATAGAGTGGATAATTGTGAATTCTAATGGCTCGTTCCTACGAGATTTAGGGGTTATTATTGTAGGAGGGATGTTTGGAGACGAACATGATCACTTATTGAGGGGTTTACATGATGAACATGGAGAAATGTACTTTTACTCGTATATAGATTTGGGGAAATTCAAGGATCTTGATTAGATTGGGATATCCTACAAAGATAAGTTCAGCTAACGCTCACTTCGAAGATCGGTGTAGCACTTCATCTGAAACCTAATCCCTCATCAACAGCATGCTAGTATTAGCATTTCGAGTTCTCTTACATCTGGAGCATGTGATTCATATTTTTTACTGTCTATAAGAAAACTAATTTCCTATCCGATTGTTTAGCTCGCTATGGAACTCATATTGTTGCTATGTATGACTCTATGAGTGACTTCACCGCTTGTATGCCATGGGCCATGGCCATTCCAAGAGGCTTTTGGAGCTCAATTGGTTGGTTGGGTCATGGATTCTTAAATATGAAAGCAACTCTAAAAGATTAGCCTTTTCTTCATATGCCGGATATAGTTCAGACTCTAAAACATATAGAGTCAATTATGAATTCAAATATCCAATACATTATCAGACTCAAAACCACAAGAACCAGCTAAAAGGAAAAGCTTTAGTTTAAAGATAGTTTGCCCTGCCACCAAAAGGGTTCATACGGTGATCATTCATCACATCTTTGAATCACAACTGAGTCATTTCGACAAGGAGTTGGCAACATCGATTACAAATCGGTATCTGACATCCGACTTGGCAAGCCTCGCCATGGCGACATTGACTTGATCCATGGGGATTACCTCCACGTCTGCAGTGATGTTGTGCTTGGCGCAGAAGTCGAGCATCTCCTGCGTCTCCTTCATCCCTCCTATGTCGCTTCCTCCCACCAGCTTTCGACCTGTTACCAAACCAAAGCAAGAATCATAGTCAGTCACCTATAATGAAACTCAATCTATATGCTTTATATAAGTTATTCGTGATCAGTAACAGAAATCGCAATCTCTTAAGTTATTGTACCTAGAACTAGAGGGAAGATGGGAAGCTCAAGGGGCTTGTCAGGCAAGCCTAGAGTGATCAGCTTCCCATTAGGCTTCAGAAGGGCTAGGAGTGGTGTCAGCGCATGAACTGATGAGACTGTGTCGATTATGTAATCCATGCTACCAAAAGCAGCCTGCGGAAAGATCAATGCAACATCTTTCATATAAGCAAACACATTGACATAGTCCACTCAGGATTAGCATGGAGTGTTCCAAAACACCTAATGAATCAACTGAAACTTGTGATTCTTAGACTGGATATATATTTTGAAAGCATGGATTCACAGCAAGATGACTTATTACCTCAAATGCATTCATTCTTAGAGTACAAAACTCAGAAATAGCAGTTTCCAAATAATTCCCACATACCTTGATTTTGAGAGGATCACTGCTGACAAGGAACCCATCAGCTCCCAACCTATCAACAGCCTCAGTCTCCTTCCCCGGCGAGTGACTAATCACAGTAACTTTCAACCCAAAAGCTTTGGCAATCTTCACAGCAACATGGCCAAGCCCGCCGAGCCCAACAATTCCCAAGTGCTTCCCTGGCTCAGTCATTCCATAGTACTTCATGGGGCTGTACACAGTCACTCCAGCACACAGCAATGGAGCCCCAGCATCAAATGGCATGGCGTCAGGAATGCGGACTACGAAGTGCTGATCAACGACGATCATATCAGAATATCCACCATAGTTTGCAGTTCCATCATGGTAGACGGAGTTGTAGGTGAATATCATTTTTGGGCAGTAGTTCTCCAGGTCCTGGTTGCAGTAATCGCATGACATGCATGATCCCACCATCACTCCAACTCCCACTCGATCCCCCTCTCTGAACTTCTCAACGTTTTTACCGGATTTCATCACAATGCCAACGATCTCGTGCCTGCGATGATGGGAGGAATCCATAGTTTCAGGAGCGAAGAGGGCAGAGTGATTGATCTCAAGACAAAGGAAATGGCTTAACAACTTAATATCAATTTGATGGCCAACCTCACTTAAATGCATTACATTGGGCACTGGCTTGGTATTGAGACGGATCAAGCAGTAGTAAGTTTATTCTTGTCTACTTACGTTGTTATGTTGATGATATCAGCTACATTACCACAAAGTAAGACTTGGGACACAGACAATGCCAATGATATAACTTATTAAGACGAGTTTAATACTTCAGTTGCCTCAATTTCAGGTGAAACAATGGCATTTAACCCAAAGGGTTACAGATCAGAGGTTTTAGATTTACCCTGGAACCATGGGGTAATGAGCAAAGCCCCACTCATTCTTGATGGCATGCAAGTCAGAGTGGCAGATCCCACAGAAATGGATCTTTATGGTCACATCTTCATCTCCATTTTCCCTGTTCCAAACGAAACAGTCTTATATACAACAGTCAAACAACCAGCATCAAAGCTTTCTTAGAGCAGATCAGCAGAAAGTGATAAATCCTAGAAGAATTCATTCAACCCATTCTCAAGACAATATTTCTAAATGGAACAAAGTTTTGGCCTTGTTAGCTGGATGCCTGGATTCCCTGCCTTGGCTACATTAACATTGAAAACAAGCAAGCACCATTTCTATTTAGTATTTTAGTTTACCCACAGTGAAGCCACCAAATTAAGAATTAAGACACAATGGTAACCCCATTTCTAAAACAACAAAAGGACCCACAAACTGAGCTGTCACAACAAATTAAGGACTGCCCATTGAGGAAAGACTCATTCTTTTGATACCCAGAAGAGGATCAGGATAACCTAACTGATTGTTAACCTTGATAAGATCCAAATTGGAGGAGAGCGACAGAATCAATATACATCTAGAGTAAACCAAAGTCAGAGATGACAAAACAAACGAGCACAAAGTGGATAGCTTTGATCCAAATTGGAGCTTTCCTAAAAAAAAACACAAACTCAAGATAGTGATTAGTGAGTGGTCCAAGAACAAATAAAGCTGTCACAACAAATAAAGAACTACCCTTTGAGAAAAGACTCGTTCTTTTGATACCCACAAGAGGATTAAGGATTACCCAACTGATTCCTAACCTTAAATAAGTTCCAAAGTGGAGGAGAGCTACACAATCTATATACATCTAGAGTAAACCAAACCCACAAATGACGAAACAAAACAAGCACAAAGTGGAAAACTTTGGTCCAAATTGGAGCTTTCCTCAGAAAAGTGCCTGGTCCAAGAAGTTCAGATCCTTGATTATTATAATCTACTCTCACCCTACTTTTTGTTTTGATTAGCTAGCCACATTTTACGATCCAAATCTTTGACCACCAAACTGTTCAGTGTTAACATCACTACATCACTAGCACATCTCCCCCTTTTTGACTACTTAACAAGTTCCTAAACACACACATAATATTTGTTTAAGGTGGGGTTAATAAACAAATGCAGAAATTAGAAACAGGGGGAGACAAAAAGGAGACCTGCGGGAGAAATTGAAGGGCGAGAGGACGCCGGAGCTGTCTCTGGCGGCCCAGCCAAATGCCTTCTGTGGGTGCTCTGTCTCCGGTGATTTCGCCATTTTCTCCCTCGAGTTATCCGAAGTTGGGATTTGGAAGAGAGCGTCGGTTGCTTCTTCTTCTTCTTTGATCTTTCTTCTCCTCGGTTAAATAGATGGTGGGTGGTGAGTGACTGAGTGGTAGCGCTGTAGAGTGTCAGAGCAGAGAGTCACCTCTGCCAGTGCAATGTTTTTATTGCTTTCTGTATTTTTTTTCACTTTCGGCACCTACTAGATTAATTAGCTCTCAATTTTAGGTTTGCCTTAATGAAATTATGTCATTTTTGTTGATATTTCTACTTTGTAATTTGTAAACCAGTAAGAAAAACAAAATCTCATAACAATTACATTCCATTTTTGTTTCGTGGCTAGAAGCAAAAATCTTTCTATCTTTTATGAAGTATAGTAGTATTCATTAGAATATTTGACGATCCACACTTCAGGCAATTTAATTATGTTAACATGCATAACAATCGTCGTAAAACAACACAATGAGTAACGAGTTAAGTGCTACACAAGGAAGGATGGTGAAGATAGGAGGGGGGGAAAACATGCATTATGACCATCATGTTAGGTAGGATAAAATATTCAATGAATTTATTTATATCGATAGTTCATCCAAATTTCTTAATATAAGAACAACAAAGAGAAATGTCTAACACAACTTTGGTAACTAGATTGAAAAAATTATAATAAATG